AGGAAGCATTTACTTGTCTTCGATCCAGATTTAAAGAAACTCGCCTCTCTCGCTATCTATCCATTTCTGACCGTTATTTGTTTTAACTCAAATACAAATTCGCATTTTATTTTCAACATAATATAGTTTGCACCATTACCCGTTATATCATTTCAATGACGTTTTTTTGTTTTTGTTTATTTGTTGTTGTTTTTTTAAACTTTTGTTTCACTACAAAAGTACGTCAAATTTCTTTTATATGTTTGGGATAAGCTTGAAGTCTTATCTCTTGTCCCCCATATTCTTAAGTTCAAACAGCCTTAAAAATCCAAGCAAAAACAAAAACACAAAGAAAAAAAGAAACAAACAAACAAAAAACACACTCTCAAACAAACATTTAAAAACGCGCAGACGCAAAATAAAACCAAAGCAATTTACGCACAATCGAAGGATTCATTTGGAAAGCATACGTTCATCCAAATTTGAGCATTTCTGGAAAACCTCGTCACTCCATAATTTAAAGATAACTATTATCGTGAGAATTTGCTTTTTCTTTTTCAGAATGCCCTGTATCCCTCGACATTTCGTAGGATAAAGTTTCGCTTTGTTCATACTTTTGTTTTCAGACAATACTTTTTTCTCCCCAATCATCTCAGTTTTGTCTTTGATGGATAGTGCGTCCTGCCATGGAACCCTTCATTTGTAAATGCATGTAAGAAAATGAATAATTTTTTTACGAGCAAACTTTTTATCACCTCCAGTAGAACAGGACCTAGGCTGGCCTGTGTCCAGTAGTGGGCTGAAGCTGACCTCGCGGACTTTCCTGCGAGAACGCCAGACTCACCACCGCCGAGGGGGAGCACGTCAAAGACATAACAGCGACGGGATGCCTCTACAGCGACAGCTCAGGGATCTATTCAGGACGTTCACTTGTTGCGGTCTGTGCAGGGAGGCGGATTGAAGCCACGCAGAATGACGCTATCAAATTTCATGCTCTTTGTTTTTTCCTGTTGATGTTGTTTATATTTAATTAAGCTTATAAATTAATGAAGGCAGACAGGTGAATAAAATATTGGGCCGACCCAACAAAAAGGATTAAACAACCCCTGCACCCCCCCCCCCAAAAAAATCACAAAAAACAAAACAAGAAACTATCAACAGTAAAGAAAAATAACAAAGAAAGCAGCACCAAAAAAACAAATAAAAAAAAAGTAATAGATGAATATCACCCTCTCCCTGAAATACTCCCCTCCCTGAAATACTCCCCTCCCTGAAATACTCCCCTCCCCTCCCAGCAACGAAAAGAGTAACAGCAACAGCTACTCACTGAATAGAAAGAACATATATATATTTTATTGTCCCTCCTCCTAATGATTTGAAAAATACTATATTTAATTCATTGTCTTTTGATTTGATGCACTCTTGATTCAACTGTTCGTGTTTAATATGCGATTCGCTTTTATATTATTATATATTATGTTCGCTGTTGTTGAGTATACATTTTGCGCCAATTATGATACAGTATTACATAGAACATTCAGAAATCGGAGTTTTGTTAGGTCTAGGCGTTTGAGGGAAAAAATCCCAAAACAAACAAGGAAGAAGGGAAAAAAAATGATATTGTGTCGGAGAACCACGTCTGTGGTTTCACGGTTCCGCATTTACCATATTATGAAGGGTTAAGCCCCCCCCCCCAAAAAAAAAACCAACAAAAAAAACCCAACAACAAACAACAACACAAAACAAACCCAAAACAAATAACAACTAATATCTCCCTTAGTCTGCTGGCACAAGATGGCCCTGACAGGCAGGGTTTAAGAAACCTGTCTCCTAAGTGATATAGACCTGGAACTATGTCAATGGGGGCCACAAAACAGTAAAATCTCGGGATAACGTGCTCCCGACGGACTCAAGATTTTAATGTCTTAGTCAAGGAATGTATAAACCCGCCCCAAAAAGTAATAATTCTAGAGGCCGAGGGCTTCAGAAAGAATACTTTACAGCCGATATTACATGTTAAGCAGTGTACGTTATAATGAGGTTTAAGTGTACTACAATTACATTCTTATTGACAGGAGGTACTGCAATAAAGTAACATGTGATAAAGAACTCCCGGGGATAGGTATTGAAGAGCACATTTGCTTCAGTAGAAGTGCGGCACAACCAAACTGAATGCAGTAGGACTATAATGTGTGTGGCATGAGAAAAAACTAATGACTTGTGCGGAAGAAATGTCGTTCTGAGTTAAGGGCATAGGTCTAATGAATTTGAATCTGAAGCTGTACAGTAATGTTTGTTATTTGTTGGTTCACCAACTATGGTTTCAGCATCAGTCTCACATTTGTCCTTTGTGTTTGTTTTTTTTGGTCAATATGTTTTCAATAAACGTTGTATCAGTCTATTTGTCGGGTTGATAATTTGTTCGTATTTGATACATTAGAAAATTTGCTCCGAATAACAAAAAACAGTATGTAAACACACCTTTTGCCTTAAAAAACTCAGTGATTTTAATCTTTGGGTAATCAAATTTGTTCACATTTTTTTTTCGAAATGGCAAAACTAACAAACGCAGAACGTGAAAATGCTATGGGTATGATAAATTGTCGAACTAAATCGTCTGCTGTTGCAAGACATGTGCCTGAGAACCCTTCAAAGTTTGAATAGGCGTCTTTACACCTCTGAAACTGCCCTTGACTGGTCCCTCGACCACTTGACACTTGGACTGGGTTGTTGTTAAAACCCATGCTCGAAACTAGTTCCAACCAAGTAAAAACACTGCCGGGCACTTCGAAGTGTCTTAAAACACACTTCTTAGACATTGAAGGGATACATGGATTATGAAATCATCGCCTTTTATGTGGAACCATTCTAACTCCACTTCATAAAAGAAATAACTAATTAATGTTGGTTGTAACAGCATTGCTAATGGAACCAAAGATAAATCCACGTTTTTAATCCATTGCATTGGTAGAAGAGATTAAACATTTTTAGAAGAAGAGGACAGGGATCTCACCAAGCCAACATCTGCCAAGTGGAACGTTTCGGTGACGGAAGTGTGATGGATGGGGTGGAATCTCTGCTCATCATCGCTTATATTTGGTCACCATTTATAGTGTCTTTACAGGATGGCGGCATTGTGACGAAAATCTTCGTCCCCGTGTCCTACCCAAGATGACCAACATGACAACACCCGCCCATGCGTCCATGGTTATTCAAAACTTGTTCCAAGCCCTTCCAAATATTTTTACAATAGGACAAAGTAGTACTGTGGCCGAACGCACAGAAATCAGGCCGCTGGCAGGACAGTCTGCCACGCTTGCGGTCTGTCAACGATAACATTTTCGTTAATAAACCTATTGAAAACTAGACCCTTTGGTAAAAATGATATCAAGTTCGGAAATAGCGTATCAAAATAAAAAATAGCCCGTGAGTGACCCCTTTTCTTGCTGGATTTTGAAGATCACAATATGGAAGTATCTTTAAAAAAAACCAAGATTGCATATTATGAAGTATTATTTTTATCATGAAGAGAACGGACAATCGGTTTTAATTGAATGTGTAACAGACCCATAATATGCGTAGAGATTGCCATCTGTACAACGCCTAAACTTCTGACGTGTATTGTATTGTATGAACTGACAATATGTTTGGTGTTACTACCTTATAACAACGTTACTTAAGGGAAAGGTATCACCAAGGGTCACTGTCTTAAAATTCAATTTAAAAATTATTAAAGATAGACACAAGTCATTTGGCCAGTATAGAGGCCAGTCATATATTAGCACAATTATGTTATTAGTAAGCAGACCAAATTTCATGCAAATTGATGAAATGTTTTTTGAAAGTTATGTTGAAAACGATTATTTATGTACCGATTTCAAGGGAAAATTGGACACGAACATTTTTATAAAAATTTTATTTCTATTTTTGTATTCTGAATTCTGAGAGCAATTATCAAGTTAACCATGAGTTATAAAAAGTGTTAAAAGAAAAGAAACCAACAAAAGATAAATCTAAAAATACAAAATGTATGATATACTACATTGATTGCTCCATAATAAACAAATTTACTCTGAAACAACATGAAATTTGATGTTTAAGACTTAGGCATTTTCTTCGGTTATACTGTTCCCTTAATTTAATGAAATTTTGATAAATTCTTTGGGACATGTTGTTTAGTTGTTGTGTGAATTTATTGTATTTTTTGTATTTGTGTATTGATAAAGGTTCATTTAAATCAGTCGGCTGATTGTCTTTATGCTTTAACAGTGCATTGTACTAAAGAAAAATAGTTATCACTAAGTTTGAGTGAAGAGCAACATATCGACAAATTAACAGTTATTTGGTGCTAGGAAAAAGTAAGAAAGACAGAAACAACGGAGTGAAAATAAAGAAGTAGGACCTACCAGTGGCTAAATACCGCTAAATAGTAATCAGACCCGCGCTCGACATTTTTTCAGTTATCGGGCCCACTTGGAAACCAAGTATGGTGACCAATGCTTGAGACAGAGTTAATTACATTTACTTACTGACTGTTATTAAATGGGACTTTGTTTCAAGTACGCTAATTGTTGTTTGTCTTTAGTATTTGTATCTTCAAGTTCAACTCTTAAGAAATCAAAAGTAATTCTAAAAAGGCCATTTTTCAAATGGACAACCTGTACTTACAATTGTATCAACAGTCGAAGTTTTGTCATGTGTTAGTTTGTTATTGTTTGAGCGATTAATCAGCTGCTGTCAGTGTTGAGCTTCCTGGTAAGCCGAGAATGTTCCTGAGTGTTCTAAGGTCTGCTGGAAAAAGCATTTAGCTTGCTGTTGAGCTACTACTGTTGCTGCTGCTGCTGCTACTACTACTACTACTACTACTACTACTACTACTACTACTACTACTACTACTACAACTGTATGCACCTGAAATGCACCTGAAATGCACCTGAAATGCAAGAGTCAGTAACTTATATACGATTCACTCTTGATGTTTGTCTGAGCATCCTGCCCTGCTTGTAGAAAACTACGTCGACAGGGACATAAAGACTTCTATATAAAAATTATTAATTAAGAAAATAGAAAAAACACCCCCGTCTCCACTTTTTTCTGAACAACTTGGCCAATCGTTCGAAAGTGAAACTTTTCCTCCACATTACTTTATACATAAAATTGGAATCTCTTTGTTCGTGACTTGAGATTTTGCTACATTCACCAGAAACTACTTTGTACTTCATTTGCATTATCATACAACATTTCAAAATCGTATAGACCTAGGTTTAATGCCCCTTTCAACACGGTAAGGCTACTAAATAGTCGGGATGTTTAAATTCATATTCTATATACACGAGCCCAAAGGGTCGAGAGCCTTAAATATTCCCCAAAGCAACCCAATTTCAGAGTGCCCAGTTGGGAATTCGAACCAGTGCCATCCGCTCCGTCGTCCAGCATGATACTACTGAGCTATTGTTCACACCTTACATAATCGACTGGTATACTCAGCAAAGGTTGACTTTTGCGAAGAAGGCTGAAGGTTCTGCAAACAAGTGATTGTTTTATATACTTTTCGAAAAAGAACACTTATATGAATTTAAATAAAAAAATGAACTAACTGACAAAACAACTCTGGTTTTTGACAGATAGTTATTTAATATCTTTTAAAAAACCCACATTTGATAGAGGGTTCTCGTGGTCTAAAGGTTACAGTGTTCGCCTCTCATCCAATACGTCCTGGGTTCGAATCCTGACAACAAAGGAACATTTTCTTCTCTAAAATTTCTCATTTCACATCTTTTCTGCTTTCTAACCATGTGTCGTCTGTTTTCGTCTCCACTTTCCGCCCCACCCCCTCACCTCCTTTGCCCCCTCCTCTGGGCTCCTGACTCTTTCTACAGCCTTTCTGCTGTTAGATGTACTCCTTGGCTCCTTGTTACTGCTGTCTTTCAGTCACATCCCTGATTGCATGGTAGGTAATAT